TTTACTAATTGAAATTTGTATCAAGAAAAATAAAAAATAAGAATTTATTTTTATTATTTTTTATTGAAATATTAATGTATAAAAATTTAAATATTAAAAACAAAAAAAAAAAAAAACCTTCTACGGGATAAAGTTAAGGGGAAAACAATATTTCTCCTTAACAAAACACAGCCCAAGTTTAAGTTTCTAAATGTCATTGTTTAAGATTTATAACAAAGCACTTGAATTAACTACTTAGTTATAATTGACAGTTTATAATAATATTTGATAGTTGAATTTTTTCATTTAATGTTTTTTTTCATTATAATCAATAGTTGATAGCTACTTAAAAAAAAAAAAAAAACCTCCTAATACATTTATAGCTAATTTGATTAGGGGTAAGGGGAACAGCTTTTCTTTAATTTCCTTTATGAATTTAATATAACCAATGAGGGAAAGAAGAGAAGTCGGAGGACCTCTACTGCCTTCTTTTCGTTTCCCAAACAAAGGGATAATTTTATAAGTTGGGATAAATATACACTACATTTAAATAAATAAATAAATATATAAATTTTATATTTGTTCAAAAATATATATATATATAAAAATTTTATATACTATATTTATATAAAATTTTAATTTTTAATTTTTAATTTTTAATAATTAAATTAAAATAAAAATTTAATAATTTTTCTAGTCTTAACAATAGTAATGGTTCGGCGTAATCACTGCCAAACGCAAATAAACGTATCCCTGCAATGGGCACTTTCACTGTATTGACCACATCTTCTTGAAGGATTGTCTTTAATTCCGTATTCAGTACTTGACATCTTGGGCAGAGTTATCCTTTCGCACCCACCAAGTAGCGGCAGCAGTAAAGACTAAACGGAGAAAACAAAATTTCACTACTACCAACCACGTGTTAAGAAGAGCCTTGAAAAATGTATGGATCATGTGCATTCCTGATATGAGATCATGAGTTCGAAAACGACGGTATTTTTAGCACCACCATCCCCAACATGTGGATTTCAAAATCATGTTATTGCCTTTGCCCTTTTTTTTTTCAAAATCATGTTATTGAGGCTTTCTGCCGTTCAAAAAAAATGTTATTGAGGCTTTCTTTAAGAAAGTTTTACATAACATTTTTTCTTTCGTAGTATTTTATTTAAGATTGTAAATTCAATATAAATAATTAATTATAATTAATATTAATATATTTTTAATAATTTTAATTAATATTTTATATATTTTTAAAATAAAAATATTGACTATCACAACATAACTTAG